GTTGGTGTGACATCCCTGGGCTGCCGTGAGTGCAGTGGCTAAGGGCTACCACCTATGACTCTCCCCAGAGACGTGTGCAAGGCTCAGGGGTGTCACTTCTCTGGAGCTTCCTGAGAGACTGAGGGGAAGGAGAAGGGAAGGGAAAATGCCAAGGGCTGCTGCTTATGGGGGTGGAGGTAGAAATTAGTCTTCTTGCCTCGAGGCAGCACAACCTTGGAGAAATTTACACTCCATTCCGGATCCAGCCTAGACTTAACTTTATCTGAGAAAAGATTTCTGCTCAGCCTTTTCCCTCTCTCACTTATGAATTTCTCCCAAGAGCCCTCTCTCCGTACAGCACATGCCCCCTGTCTGAGGCTCTGCTTCTCGGCAATTTGCCTTAAGAACGCTTCTGTTCTTCTCTGTCTGCTCACTGGTATATTCCACTTCCCCACTATGGTTGAACTCGTGTTCTGATTCCTCTCAGTCCCCAGTCAAAGTCAGCAACAGCCAGCCCCTGGCAGAGGAACAAGGTAAAGGAGATGTGAATCTGGGACAGGGCACACAAGCTCCAGCACTGCTGCCATCATCCTCTTTCCTCGTTAGAAGCACTGATCACAATTGTAACTCCATTGTCTGTTAACAGTCGTTCACTTAACGTCTGTTTCCACACTAGACTGGCACTTCTTGAGGACAGGAAGCATGCCTGCTGGTTCACTACAAAATCCTCAGTTCCTTTCAAGGAGCCTGGCTCACAGGTGCTCAGTGAGTGAGCTGACTCCGTATGGGAGATAAGTCATTGCCAATGATTTTTAAAAATTTTCCAAAACACTCTGCAGTAAATGCAGACATGTTTATGTTTATGGTATCATTTGATCCTCATCACATCACACACTGGGTGGCAGAGGTCTCGGTGTGCTGGAGGTGGCTTGCACCAGCTCCTGGAGAAGAAATGTTGCTGAACACTCAGAATGTTTTTGTAAGCTGGCTGTTAAACCATTAGTAACTTGATACTGGATTTGTGGGGATATTCACACCCTGGAAATGGACAAAGACTACAAACAAGGGCTTTTCTTTTACAAAGAGCAGGTGTATCAGCAAACCACTGCAGTAGGTACGTTCAAAACTGTTCTGTGATTGGGTGGGTGGCGAACACTTTAAATACGGTGCCTCTGAGTTTCAGGAAGGTGGAGTGAGACCCTCGAGATCTCTGAGCCTTCCTGCAGTGAGATGCTGGCTCCAAATGCATTTCCTTGTTTCAGCAGGCATTTTCTGAATGCCAACTAGGTACCTGCTGTGGTGAAATGTGATTGGGAAATTAGTGGATAGGACCAAGCAGTTCTTCCCCAGAGCTCCTCTCAAACAGCAGTGCTGGTGCCTGTGCCAGGAGGCCTGGGCGTGCTCAGCACCTGATGCTCCACCACCACGTGGGGTCTAAGAAGAGTCCTGCAGCCACAGACCCAGCATCTGGTGTGCAGGGGTGGCCCACTGTGTTTATACCCTGTCCAGGGCTCCTTCCACAGAACATGCAGCCCCTCTGCCTCCCTCAGCTTCTTGAAGGGAACAGAAGCCACATCTGGACCTCAGCCCACCTCTGGGGCTCCCTCTGGTAGGGCTGGTTCCTGCTCCTTGCATACCCCCAAAACCTACTGAGATCACACTGTGAATGGTGACGAGTCAGAGGCATCAATGGGAACCACATGGACACTGCCCCTAACTGCACGGGGCCAGTTATGAGTTGAACGGTCTGCTTCCCCCCAGTTCATATGTTAATGCCCTAACCTTAGAATGTGACCTTATTTGGTAATAGGGTCCTTGTAGATGTACTTAAGTTAGGATGAGGTCATACTGGAGTGAGGTGGGCCCTCAATCCAATATGGTCAGTGTCCTCAATAAAAGGGAGGATTTGGATAGACACGCACACAGGAAGAACGCCACATGAGGATGAAGGCAGAGATCGGGGTGATGGCTCTATAAGCCAAGAAGTGCTGAAGATGGCCAGCACACCCCCAGAAGCTGGAGGAGAGGCATGGAACAGACTCTCCCTCACAGCCCTCAAAGGAACCCACCCTGATGACATCTTGTTCTTGGACTTCTAGCCTCCGGAAATGCAGGACAATAAACTGTGTTGTTTAAGCCACTTCGTTTGTGGTACGCTGGTACAGCAGTCCCTGAAAATGGGCTGCTTTGCAAACCTCCAAACTGGGCGGCACTTAATGAGAGCTTGAGTTTCTAACAGTGATGTTACAGGCAGACAAGGGTTAGAGCCGCACTCCAGAGACAGGGACTGTATCTAATAGAAGATGTACTGGGCTTTTGGTCAGGTCAGAATGACTCTGAACAGCTCGGGGCTGCTCCATTCTGAGTGTCATCCCTCCAATTCTGTGGGACCCACACAGCTGACCACAGACGCCGTCTGAAGTCACCAGGGTCAGGGACAGGACATCCACAAGTTGCTTCATCGCCAGAACAGTGGCCTCAAGCCTGCACATGTGATCAGACTCGAGAGGCTAGATGCCCGGAGGCAGACCCGTGAGGAAGGTGCAGTGATAGAGAGGTGGAGGAGCTTGGAGGGAGACAGATGGCCTGTGGAACCTGACACAGGGACTTCATATACCCCCGATGCCAGCAAGATATCCACCAACATATTTTCCTCTATTAAAAGGAGTAGTGTTTTCAGCAAACCCACAAAGAAGGAAATTTGATTCATGTCGTCAGGAGAGGGATGGGTCAAATACGTATTCCTGACTTAGATCCTTGGTACAAAGTCCTCACAGGCAGCACATGAATTTAGATACAGTTCTCCTTTCATCACCCCTGGATGCTCCAAGGTAATGCCAGGTACAGAGTAGACACTAGCCAAACACAGCTTTCCTTCCCTCTGCCTCTTCTCTGCATCCCCAAGCGTCCTACTCATCTGATGCGGTGCTGAGAGGGGATAACTCCCTGAACTGCGGGAGATGGGCATCCTGCATTATCTTGCTCTCTGCCCCACTGCCAAGTTCTGCAGGAGCCTGCTTCTCCCGGCTGGAGTGACAGCCCTCCGTGAACTGCAAAACAAACGTGTGGAAGCTTGGAATCCACCTGTGACTTCCGACTCCTCTGAGCTCTGCCTGGGTGTGGCCGGCGGGGCGCTCGTACTCATTTGTGCGTACCTGTCCTCTCAAACACTGACGTGTGCCACGCTAAAGAAAGACGGTTACCTCAGCGTCACACGAGAGGAGAAATCCTTGCCCTAAGGGAGGCAGAGCGCTCTTCCGCCCTAGCTCTGTAAAGCCCACTGCAACTCTCCTGCCCACCAGCAGGGCTCTGGAGGAGCCTGGCACGCAGGGCCCTCTATCTATGAGGACAGTGAGCCCTGAAATCGCCAGGAATGTATACTTTTAAATATTCTCTCTCCAAGTTCCCACATGTACCTTTTGCCTGTCCAGTCACACGTTCCCAATTCCCAGCTCAGAAAATACGATCCAACAAACTACCCGTTAGGAGGGCTTCTGTCTCAGAGGGTGCCCTCAGAATCCCTACACACCCTACGCAGGGGGAGCGACTGCATCAACTCCTCCCTCCTCCAGGGGCCAAAAGCGAGGAGGGCGCCACGGAGCACCGTCGCGGTGAAGGTCTCTGTGGGTTCCCTCCCCTCTCCCGGCTGCCCGTCTAAGCGGACGAAGCAGACCCCCAGCTGTCCAGGCTGCAGACTAGCCAAGTGATGATGTCCTTGCTTCTAGATTCTCTATTTTCTTCAGTAAGAAACTTCTGCCAAGGCCTCAGATTTGTGTCACTTTTGTTTGCAGGCCATCAATTTTCCTTGCCTCACAAAGAGTGTTTTATCTCGTTCTGTCCCAGAGCCTGAGTTCCCGAGAGAGAACACTTAGGGACACGCTGACCTCTCAAGACTTATGTGAAATCAGAGGGAGTTCTTATCAGAGTGAGCCCTTCGAGCTTCTGTCTTCCTCCTCCCACATCTTCCCTTTGCTGCCTACATACTGATGTGATTTTCTTCAAAGTTATCACAGTGATGCGTGATAGGTCTTGGTGCATATTTTGTCAAATAACCACCAGACATTCTCCTCTCTCTTTCTCTCTCCCTGTCTCTTCCCCTCGCTTCTACGTGTGTGCTTTCCTCTGCACGTATATATTCACATACGTCTATACACACTTGAGTCACTGTCTCTGTCTATAGCTTATATCTATGATTATATGTCTACTTATATTTACAGTTGTCATCGCCGTGGAAGCAATCCATGAGACTATCTATGTTGTCAATCAATGCAGGGAACAGGATAGGACTGCCCAATTTTGGTGTGTTTATACGGGGAGGATAGCTGTTAAAAATATCAATTCTATAACAAAACTATAAACCCGACTTCTAACCATTCAACCTTGTAATAGGTTAAATGATAACAAAACATTCATTGATTTTTTTTAAAAGAGTAATAAACAGAAACATGTACCAACTGAAAGAGCAGGCAATCCAATTATAATTAGGAAAACAAAGTGATGAGCCTGAACAGCGCTGCCTTAGTTTTGGGGATAAGTGCTGAAAATGCCGACAACATAACAATGCAGTGTTTGTTTTCTCATGATTAAAGACACTAACACTAATCACCTCATTTTTGAAAGCCATGTGCCAACTGAACAAAGTACAAAACCCAGCAGATAGGTGTAACTGATGTGCTTAAAAAATACCTACATAAACCTAGATCCAAATACAATGAAAATATACAGCAGAAGAATGACTGGGTAAATTTATATTCACCATTCTACTCATTTACGTATCCGTACCACTCTGTCCATCTATCCATTCACCTCTCCATTGATTCAACAATTATGCTTCGAGCTTTTACTATGCTTCAGGCACTGTGTGTGGTATTAATATATACCATGCAGGTGACTCCAATGAAAATAATAATTCTTTCTTGTGATTTTTAGTCATTGTTGCCTAAAATTTCCCAAATTTCCCAGTGTGGCTAGAGGGAGAAGTACTTAAACAGCTGATGACAGACAAGGACATGCCAACGTACCTTTCGTAGCCAGACGGACACAGTTGATTTTGGTCTCCTGTGAACAACAAAAGTGAGACTCCAGTTAATTTGTTGTGGGTTTCATTTTATTTATATAAATGCAGATACATGTTTGCATATATAGGCATGCATATATATTTTTAATTGTAATTTAAAATGTGTCCTTTCCATTCTTTCCCCCATTGGAATCACCTTTTAATTCTGTTTCTTCAGGTCTTTTCATGCTAGGTACATATTTTGTTATTTTTACTTCCTGGCTCCCATCACCTTAAAAGAGTCTTCTCTGGACAGAACCACTTCATAAATACTGCCCAGCACAGAACAACTTTAATCACAACACTGAGCAGGTACACAGTGTGTTCCACTCAACTGCATGGGTCTGTGGATGGTGCCAAGGGCATCCTTCGGAAGCTTGGTCATAAGTAAGTAATGCACCTACATGCATAGCCTGAAACAGACACTTTGGAATAGTTTAGTCAATGTGAATGTGTAAGAATTGAACCACAAAATTCACGTTCAATAAGGTACTTTGGCCCAGAGATCCCTGGTGGACCTTACGGTACTCGTAGATAATGCTGTGTGGGTGTGTTTGTGTGGCATTAGAATCTTCGCTGGGTGACCCAACTAGTTATCATCAGCTGTCTCTCATGTGAACAGGATCCATAAATTTACGGTGTTTCTGGGCATGCAGTTGAGATACAGAAGAGTATGCTTAGAAAGAGAAATCATTTCTGCCCGCGTTACTGGGATCATATCCTAGGAAGTCCTGGAATCGGGTGAAAATTCCAGTTGACTAAATTAACCCGAGCAACAGGGACTGTAAGGTAGCAAATGGAAATAAAGGGCAAAGAACGCAAGTGTGTGAGCCTCAAGGGCCCAGTGCTTGTCTTGCCATTGCTCACACATAACCACTGCGTCTTGAAGGCACCTGGGTTAGGGAGGGTTATGCAGAAGTACTAAAACCCATGAAATTCGGCAGCTAAAAACAGCAACCTTTATTTTCCGCTCAAACTACATGTCCAATGTAGGTGGTTGGGTCTGAGGGGACGGTGGTTGTGGCTGGGAGATACTCTAATCATTGTAGTCACTCAAAGACCAAGGCTGGTACCTCCATTTAACACAATGCTTCAGTGCCCACTGAGGCAGGAGAAAAGGATGATGAAGAGTTAAGCACTGGCAATTACATGTTTGGTATCAAAAATAACACTTTTACTTGACTCAGGTTTCATCAGCTAGAACCAGTCACAGGGCCACACCCTGTGAGGTTGGGAATGGAGTCCTCCACGCACCAAGAAGAGAAGCAATGATGAAGTCTAGAGCAGACTCTATTATACCCATGCACACCTCCGACTGCTAGATACGGTCACTCTTATTAAACCCAAGTGTGACTCCCCAGTGGTCTTGATTCTGTTCTGCAGAACACAGAAAGCCTGCCCTTTCTGTGTAGGAAAGATGTCTGGATACCAAAAGACAGTTCTTAGGTTCATTAACATTCTTCGTCAATAATTCCTCATATGATAAGAGTTCAAGTCCTTTGAACTATCCTAGCTACTCATCCTAGGACATCCTTCAATGTGTCCCTCTTAATGAGAAGGGACTAGAACAGGAAGCAGCAGTCTACGCATAGGATTACCTGGATTATTGCTGTTTTCTATTTTTCTTACTTACACTGGGCTTCTATTAACATACCCCACATTCCAGTTTTTCATTGATCACAGTGAATGAGCTATCAACCTCTTCCCCACCAAAAAAAAAAAAAAATCAGCCTGCTACTACGTATATAAATGTGGTTGTGTTATGGAACCCAAATAAAGAGTCACAAACGACAGTACTGACTTCCCTCTTCTCCGAGGACTACAGCCTAGCATCATATTCTTTGCCTTATGTAAGTTTGGGGACATACATTTTCCCCTAACTTTATCTGGATCAATAACATAAGCAGTAACCTGGAAAATGCCACCAACAGAACTCAGTGGCATGTACTAGAACCCTTCTTCCGGGCTGGCATTCCTCTGCTTATCAGAATCTCTGGGTGGTTATCTTACCAGTTATTCATCTCCCCAACTGCATATGCACTCAGATCCTATGACTGTATGTTCCCACAAGATTAGCTTAACAATAGGGTCAAAGTCACTTCAGATACTGGTGCTCTGTCTCCTGCATTTCCCCAGCTGGCTCAAGAACTATCTTAAAGAAAGAAGGTTGGGTTGACATGACTCGTTCTTTGGAACAAGTGTTTCCTTTCCTTTCCTTTTTTCAATGCTAAAAGTGTTCCTTTTTTAAAGTAAATAATTGTTTCATTTAAAAAAATGAAAAATGCAGAAATTTTAAAAGAACGTGACATATTATGATTCAAATACACGAAGTATTCATTTGAGGTATTCATATAATATTTGAAGTGTGCTACATTTCAAGAAAAGGGATTTTTAAAAGAATGTATCCAGAAGACAGAAAGAAAGGAAAATGAGAAAAAACATATAAAAATAAAGCAGAACTTTCTAAATGAGATGCCAAAAAAGCTCAAGCCACGTATGAGTCAAAACTTGAAAATGATGATAAAAGTGAGCAAATTAGTTTTTTGTTTTCATGTTTGGAAAAAGAGCAGAGTTCTTCAACTCCTGTTAGCTTCCATGTCTGTTCTTTGGGTTAAAGGGTCAATGAACAGAAGCCTGAGATGGTTAAGGAAAGTCTGACATCCAGAGGACTGGGGGATTGTGTTGAATGGGAGGGGTGCCAAAAGAGCAGAAGGATCTCCAACTTTCTACTAATAGAAAGAAGAAGAAAGATTTTGCAAGTACTATGTCAGGAAACTTGCCAATTCTGTGCATGATTGTTAAGTATAGCAAAGAGCAAGAGTTTGGTAAGCTTCACCATTGGGGGATATTTGTAAGGATGTGTCTAGACTTTACAGAGAGTCCACCTCATCTCTTTACATCTATGAATCTCTCTTCATCGAATAGTGCTCGTTTCAGCAGCACATATACTGTCATCATCGAATAATCTTAAATGTGGAAGATGCTTTATATTCAAAGATGTTGGTTCCAGTATTCTTTATAAAAGTGAAAATGAAGAGCAACATACATGCCTAATCTACGGGCATGCTAAAGAAAGATGAGGTCTACCGACACAGCGGAATTTCATAAAGCTGTTAACAAAAACGATTATGAGGGCTATGTAACAACATGGAATAGGACACATAAGAAAATATTAAATGCTTAAAGCAAAGTAGAGTTTCTATTGAAACTAACATGCAAATATAAGCATTGAAAAAGTAAGTCCTGAAGGAAATGTACTAAATCTTAAAAACTGTTGCACAGTGAATTTAAAGTATAACATACATGTCGACAAATATACTAATCTTAAACACAGTCTGCCAAATTGTTCACAAAGTAAACGCCCACTTATGACCAGCACCCAGATCAAAACACCCAGCATTACCAGCACCTCCGAAGCACCCTTCATGCTCCCTCTGGGTCACTTCTTTCCAGCAAAGGTGAAGGCTAATGTGCCCTTTGTGAGAATGTTCTCTTTAAAATGTGTCACGTCAAAGGGAATATCGGGTAGCCACATGGTTTATTTTACTGCTCTCTCTTCCTCATTTGGTCATTCCTGAGGACTTCCTAATTCTCTGTAGAATCACCTTCTCTTCCACAGTTGCGTGCATGAAAGTGAACCCTTCCTTCACACCACTTTCTCCACCCCGCATCTACTAAACTGTTTTGTCATCTAGAGTGCATGTCTGGTTATGTTTAATGCTTCCTGGCTCTTGCAAACGTGATGCTGACATATCTGCTCTCTCCCAAGTTCCTGACATCTTTAATTCCATAACCAATTCGTCTTTGTTGGTTAGGATTAGGTACAGAATAACAAAGTCCTGAGTCACTCTCTTGACCTCCTGGGTGACTGGATCACCAGCAAGCAGGCCAGGAACATGCTGGATATTCTGCACCCTTTCATACGGGACGTCTGGCCTGTGTACATATATGTACCCAAGGTCCCCAGTCAGTTCAGTGAAAAGGAAATGAGTACTTTCTTTGTGCCAAGATTATATAAGGCTTTGGGAAAAGGAGAAACATCTGGCATGTTTTCTGTTCTATCTCCACAGTACAATACAATTTCATTCCCCCATTATTTTAACCTCACTCATATTTCACTTCCACCCTAGACTTGCAGGTCTGCACACAGGTATGTATCACCTCGGGGTAGAAGATGATGTCCTAACTCTTGTGCTTCTGCTGAGACCTCACACCTACACCTACTTACAACCTCCATTTAGGGCTTAGGCCAAATCTAACTCATTCATCGATCCTTCCATCCATCCATCCTTCAACTATTAACTGAATTTATAGGCTATCTAATTAAGGGGCTCTCAGTAGCTGCTGTTTACTATCCAGAAGGACTTAGATTAAGCTGGACTGCCAGCCTGACCAAGAAGCCCTGGTACCTGGATAATACGTACAATTCTCACTCTACTGCCCCATTAGACTGCCCTATTTAACAGGATTAGGATTTACCTCTCATCTCATCGCTTTCAAATAGTTTTCCCAGTTACCCTAATTCATACCTTTGTCTCCTCTAAGACTGAGCTATCTCAGTTAATACGATGGGTTTAGCCCTGACCCCACAGTCTCTCTATAGTTTTCCCAGTTGCTTTGTCTTCTGCCTTAATTTCCCTCTTAGACTGGGCTGGGGCCCTCACTTATCTCTTTATTCATTTGATCAACCAGTCAACACATATTTCTTGATATGATCATTACTGATCAAGTTGATCATTACTGATCAAGTTGATCATTAATTTTTTATTGAAGTATAGTTGATATATGGTGTTGTGTTAGTTTTCTGGTGTACAGCATAATGACTTAGTTATACATTTTTACATATATATTCTTTTTCATTATAGGTTGTTACAAGATATTGAATATAGTTCCCTGTGCTGTACAGTAGGACTTCGCTGTCTATCTATTTTGTATATAGTAGTTTGTATCTGCTAATCTCAAACTCCTAATTTATCCCCACCCCCACTTTCCCATTTGGTAA